CCCTCCTCCCCCCTCCTCTCCCCCCCCTCCCCTCCCCCTCCTCCCCTCCTCTCCCCCTCCCCTCCCCTCGATTCGCATAAAGGGTAGCTGTTATGGCTTTGATTCAGTGTAGCGAGGGTGGGGTTGGGGGACAGGCCGGTGGGAACGCGGAAAATAACATCTTCAGTTTTTCAGCGGTTTAGAAACAAATCATTTGATTTTCAGAAAAATTTATTCGGGTAATCTTATAACCGTTCTCCAAACCGCTCAATGGTATTCTTTAAAGCGGTACAAGCGGAGTCGATATCGGCTCGGTGGAACTTCATTCCCCCGATTTGAGGTGAAACTTCGCAGCTCGCACCATCGATTCAATCAATCGAATCGATCGAATCGGCAATCGAGTGGCAATAAACGTCCCCCGTCTGCCAGGATTAATTGCATTCTGCCGAGCAGAAAATCCCTCGCATCTTTCGGCAGGCCAGACCCGATTGATCGGAACCGGGGGGCGAATGCGCGAGTACCGCGCCCGGGACCAGAGATGAGAGCGGAGGAGGACTCACTCGAAGAACTCGAGCCGGCCGGACTGGAGGTTGCGCTGCCAGACGGCGCCGAAGCCTCCCTGGTCGCTGACTCCCTTGAAGATCACGAGCATGAGGGAGCCGTACATGATCATCACCTGGATCGTGTCCGTCCAGATTACCGCCTTCATTCCTCCCTTTTAAAAAAAATAATAATAATTTTTTTTATTTCTGCGAGGAGGTGGGGAGTAAGTGGGATGTCAAGCACACTCCCTAGAAATTGGGTTGTAATTACCTGTACATTGGGATGGATAGGCTGCAGGTGACGGAAACCAGGTAATCGAGCCAGCCTATTTAAGATGGTAATGAAAGCGAGCTCACCTAGAAAAGTAATTGAGCTACTTGAAGGTAAGGAGAGACCTTAGCCAAGATGATTGCAATGTTGAGTGCCCATCAAAACGAAATGGATAAAGGAATCGGATATTTTGACATTTTTCTAGCGGTGTGAAAGAAATGAGCGGAATTCTTTTACGAAATTGCAAAAAAATTGCAAAAAAAATTCTGGAAAAGCACCCAAAAAGTGCGGTATATACTTCGAAAACAGAAAAAATAAGAATGCAGGAAAACTGAGAATATATTAGAAAAAATCTGACATAAAAACTTCGAGGGCGAAAAAATATACAAGAAGTGTTAAAAAAAAAAAGAGGAATGTGCAAAAACGGGTACTACATTATATATTTAAAAAAAAGGGTGTAATATGAAGTATATTACGATAGTTTATGGAATACTCCAGATTGTAGAATAAAGTGAATTGGTTTCAAAAGTATTCCATTATGCGGAGTCGAGTTGACTTCCGCCTAATCCACGTGATCACAGACATAGGATTAACAACATCCTCATTATCGTCGTGATTATCCTTTGGGGTGATAACGATGATGATGATATTATATCACTCTGCAAAAGGATAATACAAGCATCCTAATCCTTTTGCTAATCCGTTTATTGCTAATCCAACGATGAGAGCGCCTGCCGTCTCTCGACGACGCCATGGACGTCGACTGTGCCACGAACGACAGGGGTTTGTCGACACGTCATGTCGACAAACCCCGTCACTCACGTTCGATTCCCGCGATCGCTCGCCTCGACCAACACGGTCGCTTAAACCAGCTGGCACATAACACTTAGTTGGGAAATTAGCTAATTCGAAAGGGAAGGAAAAGCACGAATAAAACTGATCTCGTAAAAAAGGCGGCGATCATCGTCTCAGTCGTGTAAGGCAGGAAACCGCGGAAACACATTACCGCGTCTCCGCGGTAATGGGTTTCCGCGTGTCAGGTATCTCAGGTATTTGAGGCCATCTCAGTTCGGGGAAATAGTCCTCAATTTTGAGGGTAAGCAACTTTCAAGTCAAGTCGTCTTTCCCCGTGAAATAGGGAACGATTGAATGCCGAACTTGTATGATCCTCAGATGATGATGATCATCATGGCGATGATGATGATCATCGTCGCCAAGACCTCGCGCGAAGGTCATCATTCATTTTGACAGGCCCGAGTCGCTCAATATTTATCGCCTTTTCGCAACACGATTTTGACAGCTACCGGCCACCATAGACTCCGAGAAATCTAATGAGCGAAGATAACCGAGGCTTTCCACCGTCCATAGATATATGTATGATCATTCCGTGTTCGTGCAGCTTCGACCCGGATCCCACGGTCCGTCACACGTTCTGGACGCTGGCCGTTGGAGGATATTTCACCTGGATCGCCATCTACGGTGTGAATCAGGCCCAAGTCCAGAGATATCTCACGGTCCCCACGCTCAGACAAGCCCGAAAGTGAGTTTTATTTTCCCCAGTCAATCGATCACTCAATAAATCAATCACTCGATCAATCGATCAATGGATGCGGCGAATGAGAATTCCATACGGACGGAGATCTTCATCCGTCGAGCTGAGCCAAATTTTGGTTCCTTTGAGGAAAACGGAATTTTTAGGGTTCACCCGGCTCTGAACCAGGGCCGCGTAATTTTTTCCGTCGTGGGAAAACTTGACGGAGAACTTGTCGGCTGCCAGGGCGGGATCGGAGGAGGAGCAAATCGCCATGTTCCCCGGGATTCGACTCGTCTTGGTCAATTTTAGGGCGTCGAGGTCGGCGGGAAGGCCGTGGTAGGTCACTGGCCATCCCGGGTCGAGGTCGAGGTCCTTCAAGGCCAGGCCGTAGCGCCTCCACCCCCAGGGCTTCTGGTAGGGGAAGCCGCCTTTGAGCGCTTTCCGCCCTCGGTCCTGTTCCCTTTTGTAGTCCTTGTCCCAGCGAGGATCCAGCAGGTCTTCGCTCTTCCAGATGGTTTCGCCGGGAGTCGGAGCCATCTTCAACTTGATGCAATTCCCGGTTCCCCCCGGATAGGATCCCAAGTTCCCGCCTTCGTCCAGAGGCGTGTTCTTCAGGTACAGGTGCTGCCGGGGCATCGGGACGCCCAGCTCCTTCTGGATCAGAAATTTGAGCTTCATCACGGTGGGGTCGGGATCCCGGAACGCGACGGTGCACCCCTTCGTCTCGGCGCTCCAGTCGTCGACCTGGAGAGTCCGTTCCGGGTGCTCCTGGGTCGAGGGAAAGACGACCCAGGCGCGGGAGAGGGCGAATCGGGCGAAAAGGGCACGGTCGAGGCTCGACGCCCCCTTCGGCGCCTCCTTCGGGGTCATCGGAGTCAGACCCATCGGGGTCATCTGGGTCATCGGGGTCAGACCCTTCGGGATCATCGGAGTCAGACCCGTCAGTGCACTCGCGGCCGCGGCGACGAGAGGCAGCCCCTTCGACGCGCTCCCGCACTCGGACATCCTCGGTCGTTGACTGGGGACGCCCCGCGTGGAGGCACGAGCGGGTCGAAGGAGGCTCCGTCCGCTTCATCGATTGATCGAGCGGAGGCGGATGCCTTCGCGGGTGCATGCAGGTGTCGTCCATGGTAACGGGTCGTTCCGCATTTTTGAGTTGTTTGCTTCTCGGGTGCGGGAGTCCGTATTCCGACTTCCAACTTCTCCATTAGAGGGAGGATCGGCTTATGGATTATTTACGCCTTTTCGACCGTGCATTAAAACGAGGCAAACCCCATTTATGAAGTTCCACACGATACTTTCCATAACGGAGACGACGACGGCTCATCGAGGCGACCCGCTCGGGTCGACCCGCGCGTTCCGCTTCGACGGCTCGACGAAAGCGACGTGGAATTCGAGCGGATCGGGACTCGAGCGTCGTGAATACGATGGAATCCGGGTGAGACGCACGATTCTCACGAACTACGTGAAAGCGCCTTTTTTTTTTTTTAGATCTGGTTAATTCACGAAAGGAAGATCGTCGGAAAAAGTGGTTTTTCGAGAACGCCAAAATTTCTCGTTTTGAATTTTTTTGCAGCGCCTTATGGCTGAACCTGGCGGGCCTCCTCCTGCTGGTCTCCCTCCTCTCCCTGGCGGGGTTGGTCATATACTCCAAGTATCACGACTGCGACCCGCTGAAGGCCGGGATCGTGTCCTCCTCCGATCAGCTGTTTCCCCTCTTCGTCATGGACACTCTGGGGCATCTGCCGGGTC